AATCTGGTTTGGGAAGCGATCCTGGGACTTGAGATGAAGGAATTGGAGCCAGCTTGTGGGAGAGGCCAGCAGGGGACAGGGTAGGGGTAGAGGAGAGAAATGGAGTAGGGAGGCAGTGAGCTGGATCTGACTTACCAGAGTCCTGGCTAAGCAGGTCTGTCTGCCTGATCCAGAGGCTGGGAATTTGGCAGTCAGGTTATGAAAAGCTGGTTGGTCTAGGCTTCAGGTTCTCTCTTTTGATTTTATATCGGAGGATTTTTGTGCAGCTCTTCAGGAGTTCCCCCAGAGGCCCAAGTCAGGTGAGGATAAGATACTCTCAGGCTTCCTCTTAAGATCTGGGTTCCTATAGTCAGCAGGCACAGTACAATTAGGGAGGCTTGCTGGATAAAGGTAGGACTCAGGCACTTTCAGACAGTCAGGGGAGGAGGCTGGTCTCAGGAATAGAAGGCAGATTGGCTTGGGGACAGCCTGGGAAGAAGGCTGGTCTCAGGTGTGCAAGGGCAAGTTGGGGGTGGGGGCAGACTGTGAGGTCTCTAGGGAAGTAGACTGAAGAATTGGGTTGGTCTGGGTACAAAGGATCAGGAAGCAATGGGGGGATCTGGGCCAAGAGGGTAGCCTAGAGGTCTGGGGTACCAAGAGAAGTGGGCCTGTGCCGAGTTAGAAAGAGATCAGGATGTGGGAGCTGGGAGATTGAATCAGGCTGTGGTAGTCAAGAGCAGTGAGCAGGGTCAAACTTACCAGGGAAGGAGGCTGGTCTCAGGATTCGAAGGCAGGTTGGGAATGGGGACAGCTAGGGAAGAAGGCTGGTCTCAGGTGTGCAAAGGCAAGTTGGGGATGGGGCAGGATGTGAAGTCTCTAGGGAAGTAGACTGAAGAACTGGGTTAGTCTGGGTGCAAAGGATCAGGAAGTAGTGGGGGAACTGGACCAAGGGGGTAGTTCAGATGTCTGGGGTGCCAAGAGAAGTGGGCTTGTGCCCAGGGTTAGAAGGAGAATGGAATGTGGGAGCTGGGAAATTGAATCAGGTTCTCCAAATATCTTTAAAAAGACATACAATTTAACACAGACTGAGTGGAGTTTTGTTTAGTAGTAGCATGAAATTTTGTCCACAGTGGTAGCAGCTGTCTTCATTTTAAATTCTGTTAATATTAAGCACATTAGGACAATACATAAAAGAATATAGCAAAGAGGAAAACAGCCCAAACTGACAAACACCTCAAGGAATCACCGAGTTCTCTTGCACCCTGATCATTTGAATCGCTCAGTCTCATTTTTGTGGAGAGAAGGGTATTACAGAACTTTCTTCTCTAAGATGCGAACCAATGGAATCAAATACACAAAGTGGTTATCAAAAGACTTAAAAGATCTGACCCCAAGGGAATCCAGGACACATACACGTACTTCAGAGGCATACTTTTGATTTTGGGTGAATTTGAAATGAAAGAAATGATCACTTCAGGTAAATGTTAAAATAGATGAATACAAGTTCAGTTTTTTTGTGAGTTGTTTTAAGTGTGCTCACAATCACCTTCAGCAGTCAATCATTTCTGAAAGCTCAAGCAGAAGGTCATCCTCATCTTTCCCGGGATCCAGGTTGTTCACTGCTTCTAATTTGCCTCCTGAAATTTCACATATTAGTTTCTCAAAATCATCTTCCACAGAGAGTGGAGGCTTTTTTTTTTTTATGGGGCAGAGCTCAGTCGGCGAGGTTTTGTGGCCACCTGGGACGAGGAAGGGCCAGGCTTCTGGGGTTAAGGGCTCTGAAGAAGCCTGGGTTGAAGGCAATACAAAACTGTATTTAGGTTTTTCTGTCTCAGACATGGTGATGGATTTGTCTTCAGAGGAATGGAACAACAGCCATAGCTGCTTTCTTGCCTGGGCTTTCCTGCAGGACACTGCTGGAGCCCAGCGGCTTCACAGCTGTGATGACAGCAGGGTGAATCTGCTGCCTTGCGTTTTGGAGCCAACACAGAAGATGAAATAACCTTGACCACAGATGACTTCACAGTTACTTTGGGTTTAGCTTTCCTCCTTTTTTTCAAAGTCTGTGCTGCACATTTCACATTCAATATTGAGTCCCTAATTCCAGAGGTTTCTACCTCCCCCTTCTGGGATGACTTTGTGGGAAGCTGCTTGGTCAGGTGCCATGTGATACCTGATACCGCAGTAAGCACTGATTTTTCACTACTGAGTATAGTAAGAGGCTCCATCTCCCCAGAAGGGTGTCAAGACTGATTTCTCTTTGCTGCTTTTTCTGCATGTGCTTCTCTCTTAGGGTGTCATGTCTCTTGACTGGAACTTTAGTGATATCCCCTGTGGTCTCATCTGAAATTTCATTGGTCTCTGTCCTAGTCATACTACTCCGAGAAGCGACTT